AAGGTCCCTTCAACCCAAACCATCCTGTGATCCTTCCTGCCCGAATGGTGTGGTGTAGGGTCAGGCTGGGCACACAGCTCGGGTCCAGGCAGGTGACACCACCAGCTGGCTCACGGCTTTCCCCAGCGAGGAGAGCCCTTCAGTTGGTTGCATGGTGGAACTGCTCAAGACTGGTGTAAGAGCTGAGCCACCACTCTGCAGAAACACAACAGGAAAGCGCTTGTTGCACCAAAGAGCTTGTTAATGTAAGGCAGAAAGCAAAAGAATGGGGCACAGAGCACTCGGCTGATCCCACTGCTAAATCTTTACAAGATGACTCACATCTGAAATACAAGACCTTCACTGTGGTCACAGAATCACACAATGGTTTGCATTGGAAGGGACCTTAAAGAGCTGTTTTGTCAGGATCTGTAGCAAAAGCAGGGCGAAGAGCACTGCTGATGACCAGTGTACTTGAGTTTGTGTTCATGTTCCCTAATGCTTTGTTTCTCTCCCTGCTGGCATTATTTTAAATTCAAAGCCAATCTGATCAGGATTCAGATCCTGCCAGGGTACTAAAGATAATTAGCTGCCTCCCTCCTAATCCTTTTTTCTATTAAGAGACATTTATACAATGGGCTCCTTAAATTCAAAACACTTCTCACTGTTATGCGTCCTAAGTTTGGCAGACTAAGGTGAAGCATCTCACTTTGCTCCCTAGTTACTTCAGTCTTGATTTACAGTAGGTTGCTAATCTCAAGCAAGCACCCATCATGCTAACCCATCGTATGTTCTGTACTCTGGTTCATGCCATAATCAATAATTCATGTGTTGATAACAGCCTCATTAGCTGAGATGAAGCCAGTGCCCTTATTTATAAGAAGAAGATTCCACTTCCCTAATGGCTTTTCTCTTTTCCAGCGAGTTGTGGTCGTGGAAGACATAAAACGATGGAAATCTATGCTTGAGCTTCCTGGGCAACCTAAAGAGAATCTGATTGAAGCTTTGGAGGAGCTGAAGAAGAAAATACCTTCCAAGGAAGTGTTACTTTCAACAAAAATAGGTACATTTTGCCTGATATAGACTATGAATATTAGTCTGTCTTGTGTCTGCTTGGCTTGTCAGTACGAAAGAGACTAGCTTGCAGGCTTCTTCAGAAATGAGTGTAGCTGCCAACAGAAAATTGTTGATATCCAGCCTGCAGTTCTCAGAGCTGGTACTGAAAAAGGCAGCTATCCTCCCATTCCTCCCAGGTTGTCCAAATACTGCATCACCCCTCCTGTGGCCAGATGTTTGAAGAGCTCTTCTTGGGCATCTGCTTGTGTTACTGCTTCTCCTGCTACCTGGGTGCTCTCTTGCCATCCAGGATGTGGCTCATCTATTTGACCTGCCTGAATCTTGTGAACGTGGAAGAAATTCTCCTCAGGTTGGCCCAGAGCTGCTTACTGCATCTGCCCTGAGAAACCCCCAGCACATGGGCAGCTCCATGCAAATGACACAGCCCGATGCCTGGCTTTTTTTCATGGGAGCTGGGGAAGGGATAATGTGAAACCACATGGTCCCTGCCTTTCCTGTCTCATGGAGCGCATCCTGGTGTGAGAGACAGTCGTGCTGGCCTTTGTCATTAGAGGAGCTGGGTCTGTATTGGGAGCCCCCGTTGCCTTAGAAAAGGTGATGCGCTCTGCCTGTTTCCCGTGCTTCTGAGTTGTCATTTTATTTGCTGTATTCAGCTTATGGCTTTTCCCGAGATTTTTCCCGGTGCTTGCCTGCATGCGGCTGGGCTCCAGAGCCACCGAAGCCTAACAGTGACATCTCCTGGCCGACAGTGCTAGTGGTCAGAGAGAACTGCCCTGCTGGAAGAAGGTCCCTTTTGTCTCCTCAGAGGAAAACCTCTTTTGCAGTGACAGGCGCTGTAGATTGGAAAGATTCTGCTTGGAGTCATCGTGGTGTTTGCTTGTTAAAATACTATGAGCCATCACCAGCAGCATCTGTTTCCTTTAAGGGTGTTTCAGTTTAAAAACAGCATTTCACCAGATAATAGTATCTGTGTAGGAAATTAATGTAGCCCTGTGTTACCTAAGTGTTGCTCCAGAGCTTGGTGACTTGGGAAGGTAATTTTCACAGGAATAGGTCAATTCCTTGCTAATTGCTTAAGCAAAAATCACTGCAGCAGCCAAGGAGTGAGAACTTCAGGTTTAATTCCTAATAATTCTATACTAATATTTGGCTCAGTCCCCTGGTTGTTTGTTCAAAACGTGTGGCTGCTTTAGCACCGATACGATTTGGCTGGTGCCCTTTCTGCTTTGCCCACCTCCCAGACCTGAAGGAGCTGTTCCTGTTTTCCAGGTCACACAGTGAATAAGATGCGCAGGCATTCAGATCACGAGGTGGCCAGCCTTGCCAAAGAGATTTACACAGAGTGGAGGACTTTCATCAAAGACCATTCAAACAAGCCCTCAATAGAGGTCAGGAGTGATCCCAAGACTGAGGCTTTCAGAAAGAACGCACGGAAGCTGCTTTGTGAAGCCCTGGATCTAGAGGTAATGTTCAGATCTGTTTGTCTTTGGCTCAGAGAGTTACTTGTAGGAACAAGTTAAACAAACCTTTTTCAGCCATAGTTACTGTAAAGCTGGTCCTGCCTGCAGAGTGAGGACAAGACCAGATGATCTCTTCCTATTTTCAGTGATTTGCTGCATGTCCCCACTTATAAGTAGCTTTGTTTCCAAGGTAGATGATTTCTGGGGGGGGTTGTTAACCAAGTGAACATGCTGATTGTAAGTGAGGTGTATTTGCTCTCATTTACACAGCCAGTCAACAGAATAGTTGTGTATCTACTGCAGTTGGGCCATACAAGAGGAGGAGGAAGTTAATAGAACATAAAGTTTTTCCTACTACGTAACAGCTGTGAAACCAACACTGGGACCTTTTGGGTGTTTCATATTTAAGTAATTAAACATTTGTAAATTTAAATCTATTGCAAAAACAGAGAGGCAAGGTTGACAGTATATAAAGTGGTTATAAATACCAGATCCCTCAGGTATCTTTAAGTAAATGAACAGGGCTTTGCTGTAAGGCTTAATGACTAGTTTGCTTGGTCTGTGAAATTGCCATAATAATTATGCTTTTTAATTTATTCATTAATTATATTTTAAATGGCAAGTCAAGTGATAAGTACTCAAGAGTTTCAAAGCTGTGTGTTTGCTAGCTGTGAGAACAATCTCTCCGACTTCCAGTCCATCAGGACTGAGGCAGCATGAAAGGATGGTTGGCTGTAGGAATGCCTCAGAAAGGTGGGAGCTTACCTTTGCCAGCCCACTGCAAGCTTAGTTCTTGGAAAGCACATGTGTGCACTGTGATAAGAGTGGTAGTAAAGTCTTGAAGTAATGGGACATAAAGGCTATAGTGCAACCCTAAAATGAGTAGTATTGGATAAAGCAGAATTGGCTCTGAACAGGACTTACCTTGAAAGCATGGCAAGGAAAAATTGCCCTCTAGCTTGCAGCTCCCACCAGGGGTGGAAAGGGGGCTTACAGCAGCAGATAGGCAGATAGTATATATAGGAAGGAGAACCACAGAGGTCCAGCAAACGGGGAGCAGGAACACCTGAAAGGGTGACAAAAAAGGAGAAGGGAAGGTGGGGCTGAGTGTATCCATGGGGCTTCTAGTGCTGCCCAGCAGAGGGGCAGTTTAGTCATGGGTGGCAAAACCAGAGTAGGACTTGGAGGAATACTACTTGGCACGCTGGAATCTCCTGCATGCAAAGCATGGGAGATTCCCCATGACAAAAGGCTGAACTGAAATTAAAACTACTTCTTGATGGGTGGGGGATTTTTTTTCTGAGCTGTGCTAAATTACAGGTTTTGGCACATGTTGAAGCAATAACTGCATAATTAACATTTAGCAAATCCCTTTCTGCATTGTTAATTACACCTCCTTCTACACACAAAGAGCCCACATTTCCCTTTATAGCACCAGGCAGAGTTGCCAAGTGTTTGGCATGTCTTAGAGTTGCTGTTGGAATCAAGTTTAAAATAGTATCCAAGGTACCTTATATCAGCAAGATCAAAAGTGAGCTTTATGGAGACAGTAGAACCTAGCTTGTAATTGCACTTGAGCTTGATACCCAGAGCTAGTTGCAGATTAGCTTCCTGTTGTGATGGCAAAGTATTGCCACCCAGCTGGAGATGTGGATATGTTCCCTGCTACTGACCACGTTGCCTTGTTCCTTAATTGCTAGGGTGGAATTAAATTGCTCTTCCTGTTACACTTGTGAGGAGAAGTAGATTTCCTTGAATCTAAGCTGATTAATGAAGAAACACTGAAAAGCACCAAACTGCCCATTTCAATCAGTTGGTCTCCTTGTTAAATGTAAAGATCTAATTTTATACTTTGCTGTTTTCAGATTGATCACCCACTGGCTGAAAATATTGAGCGAGAAGCTTTTCACCTCTCTTCCCGTCTCATTAGCGCACCGTATCGCAGGATGGTGCGAGCTCTTGTCTTCTCATTAAAGCACAAACCTGAAATCCAAGCAGAAGTCAAGGCTGGCACACTCACTGTCCCTGCACTCGTAAAGAGCCATAAAAAGTGAGGTGTTGTGCTTGATCCTGAGTGAGAACTTCATGTGCCTACATCTCTGTGGAAGTGGGAGCCCTTTCTGGTGTGAGAGGAGTGCAGACAGTGCTGACAGCGTGACTCACAACCTGTTCATGTTCACATGAACAGGGCTGCTGAAGACAAGAACTACTAATGATGAAAGTGGTGCTGTAAGTCTGACTTGGGCTTGTTGCAAGGAAAGTTTGTTCTATTCTGCTGTGTATTTCCCTGCTACAAAACCATTGTTGCTGACTCAACTGTGTCTCCCTTCCACCCGTTTGTCATACCTCAGTTTAGCTCCATCCCTGATGTGGATCTGCAGGTGTAATCAGCTGAATATAACATAAGGAGCAGCTCTGTGCTGTGTTGGTAGAAAATACTGGGAATTCAGGGTAATTGGTCTTTGGGAAGATATTCCTAGTGGATAACTGCAAACTCCAGTTACCCCTAAACCAGCCACATTTACTGCAGCTGGGCCCAGCCAGCAGCAAGAGCTAACTGTTCTGTCAAGCCGGGTGATTTCCCTTTGCTACATTCCAGAGTTGGATGCAAAATGGTTTTTGGTAACTTACTGCCCATTATTCCATAGGTTCAGTCATCCTGTGATTGTGGGCATTTTTAAATCCCTAGAATGAAAATCAGCATGCCCTGGAGTATAGGTGCTATCTAATGTGTCTGCTCTTTAACAAGCAGCTCACTCAGACTTCCATACCTCACTAATGATCTAAATGTGGTGCTTGTTCTTACTGTAATGTGAATAAAGAAACTTGAAATGAATTTTCTAAATAAAATTAGGTTACAAGAAAAATAGTCCTTTTAAAGGCTTTAAAGGAGCATGGTTCAGAATGATTGTGTGAACAAATGTAAGCAACAAACTATTGTTTAAATTCCTTCTAGTTATTAAAAACTGGAAATATTGCCTCTTATACTTGCTCCGATTTCTTTAGTGCCACAAGTGATCTTGTTCTCCATAAGCTATTATTAAGGCTGTGTCAGGCACGGTGTTTCTCTACTGTTAGGTAATAAAGTGCTCTCTGTTATCTGTGTGTGTGTGTGTACACAAGGGACTGGTCACAAACCTTCATCTGAGTTATCAGGGTAAACAGAACCCTGAAGTATGGGGATGAGTGAAACCTGCCTATTTGCCCTCATAGGAGTTGAAGCCTTAATATGCCATAAGGAAGCATCTTTTGATGGTTGTGGTTGGCACTCTTACATCAGAAGAGTCACTTAAAGATGAATAACATAGTAGGAAAACGATGAGTTAGTCTATATTCAGATCTTCACCCTAAACCATGACTGACTCATATATGGACCTGCTAAATACTTTTTCTTCTGTGGCCACTAGAAGCTAAAGAAACACCCAAAACTTACCTGAGGTGTTAAACTCCATAAGTTTAATTAGCTAATTGCAGGTTCTTTTAAAAACACCTAAACCCTGTTGTGTTTGCTTGGGCCAGTGCCAAAAAGACCATTTATTCCTGTACGTATTGTGAAGGTGTGTTCAGGGAGCTGGCTTTTGTGAGCACAGCAATGCTCTGGTGTACAGACGTTTCATCTGAGGAAAGTTAAGGTTAAGTGTGTTGGAGACAGTACAAGAGAGAAACTGGCAGATACATGGGAGGTGACTACCTGGATAATATGTCAATAAAGACCTAACAGTTGTTGACCAGGCTGTAGCAAGAGATGTGAAACCCTCAATTTATTTCTTACAAGTAATCAGCTCCATTTCCTACTTAAATAACTTCAAACTGCACAGCTGTAATTGAGTTCATGTATGCCAGACTGTCATGGGGGGAGTTCAGGATCAATGAACAACCTAGCTTTTGCTTCCAGAGCTGTAGCACACAGACCTGCAGCATTTGTTCTCAGCCTTCTGCTCCTGGTGCTGGGCTGTGTTTTCTCTATTTAGGTAAAGTGTGAGAAGCAAAAATCCTGAAGATGAGGAACTCTGGTTCCAACAAAAGCCAGGCCAGAGAAGTTTCCCACACAGGTCAGATAGAGTCAGAGAACTCTGGCTTACCTGAACACACACCCAGTTCACACTGTGCTGTATGTTGGTTTGCAGGACAGGCCTAGGGATCACCCAAATTGTGCACAGAGCAGGTAACAACTGAGGACAATTGCTGCCTGGAAGGGAAGTGCTCTATAGCAATGGCAGTTCTGGTCTGAAAACAGCAACACAGCAAGATCCATTTTTGTTTTATACTTCACCCCTGGGAATCAACAGAGGGGGGAAAGGGATGTGGATGATTCTTTCACCTCTTACTAGTAAGCAGTCCTGCAGAGGGGATGCATTCATGACATAACACTGAAATCTAAAAGCAAGAGCAACATCAACAAGGTCCTGCCATGGGCCAGAGCACCCCTGTGGTGTTTGTGGTGGGTGGAGGAATGGGGAGCTGGTGGGAACACCAGCCTTGTCCTCAAAGTGTGTTTAGAAAGCAAGCAAAACTACAGCCTGACCTCATCTCCTCCTTAGTGCCTCCCTTTGGAAGTGCTGCAAGCCCAAGGAGATAACCAGCCACTCTCAGCAGGCCTAGCTGAGATCCATCCATCCATCCTGAGGCAGGCATGGGACAGCCAGTGCCTCCCCAAGGCCACAGACACTGTGGAGCCACTTAGAGCTGCATGTGAGCTCTCCTGCCCCGCACACGCCACAGGCTCACTCTGTCCTACGCCATCAGACTCTGCTTGGGGATACAAGCAAAGCTCTGCCAGGCCCACCTCTTCCAGTGCCTTTTCCATGCCCTCTTGTGGTCCCTCACACCTTCCTTTTCTGAGGAGCCTTCAGGGAAGAGAGATTTATTTGTTATTTTACTCTATTTTGGATACCTTCAGCTCTTCAGGGCATGCAGTGCAGAGATTTTTTTACTTCATTCTCAACACATGCCAAATATTTATTGTTTGGGAAATAACTTCAGGGATGCAGGCATATTGCAATGAGGAGAAAACTCTCCTATAAACTCCCTCTATTTAATTGCTAACATTTTTGCCCAACTTGTTTTCAAAAGGAGTTAATATAGCTCTGGGTCCAGCCCTTCTATCAGTCTGAATCTGAGTCTGAAGATTCAGACTCAGCTTTGCATAAAACTGACTGACTGGAGAAACTGGAAAAGGTGCCTGAGGGTTGGACTCAGGACAGGAGGAATGCAGGGAACAAGGGAATGCTTTAAGGACAAAACCAGAAAGGAAGGTCGGGAAGGAAGACAGAAACAGAGATGAAAAAGCAATAGGCCAAAAAGTGCTTCATTTCCCCAAAGGGTGATGCTGGATATGAAACAGGATACTCGATACCTGGCAGTAATCAAGTTTTTAATTACTCTGTAAAGACCAGATACTCCCCTTGGAGCAATCTCACCTGCACAACTGCGTTTATTTATGCCTTAGGTTACCTACTGAATCAGTTTGCTACTCATCAGTTCTTCCTTCCTGGGCAAGGCAGCCGGTGGGGAGACTGGAGCTGTGTGATGGATACAGCAGGAAGCCAAGGGATGGCCAATTCCCAGCGCTGTGATCCATTCACTAGCTGTAGACCTCTGGAAATCCCTCGAAACAGAAGGTGGGGAAGGGCCCTGAACCCTACGAAGTACATCACTCCCAAGGCTGTCCTGGCTCTGAAGCATCTGCTACAGTCTGCCTGTGGCAAACCCACTCACAGGGGTCCTGCTCTTTCCCCTCTGGTTTCCCTTGGTTGCTGCTGTGCTGTGCAGACCAGCCACAGGGTCCTGGTAAGACATGTTACAAAGCCAGGGACTCTCCACAAGCTCCTGTCTTCCTGCTGGGGAAACCCTTTTAGATTAAAAGGGAAGATGAAAGGGCTGAGCGGTGGCTCCCTTGTGCTGGGTTTCTCTGGCACGGTGCCTTTGAAATAGCTGGTTCCCTTACTACAGGGCGAACATGAAATGAAGGAGGCACCCAATCTGGAGAAAGGTTCTTTTTCTACCACATTACGCCCACAGAATTCTTTCCGTGGCAGAGTACACAAAGCTGACGGACCTATGGAGACCTGCTGCACACAGCAAGGAGATGGAGGTACCATCACCTGCTCCCTCTGCCCATGCTTAGGGAATACAGGGTGGGCTCAGGGCAGCACGAGGAACAGAGCAAGAATTCACCCCTGCCAGAGCTGACTTCTGACCCTGGCTTCTGAAAGGCAAGTTTAAGGCAGCACCAGGCATCAGTTTGCTCCGTTCCCCATCAGCAGACACGGCTCAGGAGAGCTTTGTCCTGCTGCAAATTACTTGGGCGAAAGAAGACGGGAGCAGACAAGACCCTCCCTGTCCTTTGGAAAAGGGAGCGCGCAGCAGCTCACCGGTTTTCATCTTTTAAGAGGCTCTTCAAAGGTTTCTGCACAAAGAACCCAAACTTTTAGATCTCATTTGCTTCCCTGGCAGCCCTGTAATAGGAAGGGTTTGCTGGGCTGGCCTCGGATTAAGAGATGTTAAGGCAAGAAACAGCCACAGATGTCTTTTGGAGCACTGATCATCTGAAGGAGGCTCCAGGAACTTCCCTCCCAGGGTATGTGAGCACACCACAGGGGCAGGAGCATTAGAATGGAGCAGCAATTGGGGGCTGGAGCAGAGGAGGGACAGAGGGAAGAAGGGAAGAAGAGGTAAAGGGAAGGAAACAGCCACAGCCAGCAAACCCTTGCTCCTGGGCACAGCACCAGAAACACTGAGTCTCCCTCACTCCTTTAAATGGCTGCAGCACTTTTAAAGCATTTTAAGGAGCATTTAAGGATGAAGTGGCATGTCACAGGAGGGGAAACTGAGGCACAAAGGGACTCTGACATGCCAAAGGATGCAAAAGAGGGAAGCCCATGCCAGGGTTACACTGCAGTTAACAATCCTCTAAATCTTCTGCTGGCAGTCCACTAAACAGCATCCATGGTCTCTGTCAATTAGACTAGATTATGGGATGATCCTTGCTAATTATATATTATTACCTAGCAAGCAGTTATCCCCCTATAAAGGGTGCTTCTATAATGGACAA